TTTGGGTCCGAACCGCGGTTCGTTTGCGTCATCAAGCCAGCAGCTGTTTACCCCATTGCTTAGTAACGACAGCGCTGGAGAAGGCGGCAAATGCATAACATTGCTCTCTGCACTTTTATATATTTACGTTTTTGAACCGTTCGTTTTGTTTACAAAGCTTCGGTACATAACGGCACTTACGTCTGTCTTACGGATGTACTGCAAATGCTCTAAAGAATGCTGAAGGTGAACATAAATGAAAAATACAGCTTTCTGTTTGCAGCACGTCAGTCACGCTCATCAGGAAAGTGTTTGAAGCACACACACAAACACACATTTTTATCAAATAATACATCATTAATAGTGGTTCACTTCCACGATTTTGTACGATTGCGTTCATATCAGCAGTAAACCGTACCAGAGTTCACTTGAACCGTACCCCAGACCACCCCTTTTAAACCGTAACCCAGACCACCCTTTTAAGCGGACTCGGGTACGATTCGCGGGTGCGCACCCGAGTTCGGAAGACAGCGTCTACATCATCCAAAAGAACCGAACTCTGACATCAATCGAACCCGGGTGCGCCCCAAAAGTGCTAGTGTGAAAGCACCCTAAGTGTCCTTTTTTGGAAAGACATCTAAATTTATCTTGAAAAAAGCTTGCAGAAAATATAGATTTTTTGAGAATCTATATTTAATCACCCTTTAATCTTTTGGTTTACTTTGCTGGATATAGCAAATGATGACAAAATAAATATTTGAAACAAGATAAATGGTCTATGCTTAATTTCACACACACACACACACACACACACACACACACACACACATATTTGTCATTAGCACACTATAATCTACTGTTGCGCTGTGGGTATGAACTCTGAACTGTCCCGTCTGCGCACCAGTGCTGATCTCTGTAATCCGTGGCTCAGGCCGAACTGAACCGGTCTGTGTCTCGGCTTACACAGGTTCGATCCTCCCGCGAGCAGCTTTAGCAGCTCCTGACCTCAGATCCTCACAAAGCCCTGCGGGAACGCCAGCAGATTAAACACTGATCCCAGGTCAGGCTGCCTGAGCTCAGAACCAGTTCACTCCGACGTATAAATCATCGTGAGTCACGCCATGCATATTCATACAGAAAACATTTGGTGCTGATCGCAGGTTCACAATTCATTTAAACGTCTCGTCTATGCAGGTGAGATGAATACATACAGATCGCGAGGAGATTTGTGATGCAGATGAGCCGTTTAAAGGATTCGGGAGGTAAACATATTAGCAGAACATTAGAAACGAATGTAAAACTGAGAGCTTGATCCGACACGACACAAGTGAGACGATTTAAATAGAAATGATTGCTTTATGAGCCGCCATACAAAATAAAATAAAAACGAATAACTAATGCAGACGAGAGAGAGAGAGAGAGAAAACAATTTTCCATGTGGATCATGAAGACCTTAAAATAAATAAATAGCCTAAAAAATAATAAATACTACAACTACTAATTATTATTATTATTATTATTATTATTTAGCAGCATTTAATCTAAATAAAAATGTATTTTCTATGAATAAATAAATTAATTAATTAATTAATACATAAAACAGAACTACAGAGAAAATCTCTCACCAAGAAATGTCTTAATTCACTTCAAAACAAAATAAATATATTAATATTATTATTGATTATTAATACTAATAATC